CACAGCAGTCTGTTACTATTTCTTATGTTAGAATAGATTTCCAGGTGTGGGGATGCATAATGAAGATCTGAGCCTTTATTTATTTTTGTTTTTTTTAAGACAGGGTCTCACTATGTAGCCCAGGATGGCCTCGAACTCACAGTGACCCCCATCTCAGCTTCCCAAGTGCTGGGATTACAGGCATATGCCACCACACCCAGCTAACTAATTGTTTTAAAGACTGTACTCTCACTCACTTCCTCTTCGGGAAAGAGGTTATGGCAGTCAGCCTAAACAGGTGCAACATCTATTCTTGATACTTACCAGTGATTGGTCTGATTTCCATTTTGGATGAAACCAAAGAAATAGCAATAAACACCAACTTCTTGATACAAGAAATATACCAAATTATTATCTTTCAATTAGGTAAATTTCCCAAAGAAGGGCAACCCTTCCTAAGACACTGTCCTTGGACACACCCACCAGAAAACAACTTATCTCAAGAGAATCAATCTCAGGCTTTTGAATCCAACCCACATCCACCTTCAGCTACTTCTTCCATTCCGGGGTGCAGAAAACAGTCTTCTGAGACTCAGCAGGTTTTGGCTGCTCCCTGCCCTCCCTCCCTTTCCTGTCTCAAGTTTCTTAAATTCTCAGTCTCCCCAGATGGGGCCTGAGTTTCTAGGGGGGAGGGAGTGGGCAGGCTGACTAATCACAGCGTTTATCTCCCTCCCCCACTCTACCCTTCTCTGTGACTCAACAGTAACTGGATGTAACACACACATACACACACTGCTAGAATCCAGTTCCACAGTTAGAAGGACCTCTTCTTTCGAAGTGGGACTCAACACTTTTGTTAATGCTGGTGGGGGAAAGAAATGAGGCATTATCAGGCCCCACACTCCTGAGTCACTAAAAAGGTGAGAATCAGCTTGGAAAACTCCCCCAAAGAGCTAGTGGCTTTATTCTTATCAGTTATTCTCCCCTCTCTTCCTAGGAGTCAAGACACTTCACTGGCTTTCTACTGTCTCCTAAAGGCTCTCTAGACAACATGAATGATCTAGGCTTCTGACTGCCAACTAGAGGTAAAATTAAGAGGTTTTAAAAAAAAAAACCAATAAGTAGGACAGTGAAGAGTTTTCTAATCTTTTGAAAACCACGATTTAAACAGAATGCAATCCACATCTAGACTATATTTCAATGTCTGTTTAGCTTTCTGTCTCCCCATTTGCCTGCCCTGTCCATACTTCTCTCACCCTCCTTAATCCCACCACTAATATTATTACAAAAGCATGCCACTCATCCTCTTTTTTCTCATTCACTGAATTATCATCAGCTTTAGACTTTTAAAATAAAAGCCAGGGCTGAGCCAAGAGGATCACTGTGAATTTGAGGCCAGCCTGGGCTACATGGTGAGACCTTGCTTTAAATACACAAACATGCCAGGTGTAGTGAGTGGTGCACACCTATAATCCTAGCATTCTGGGAGGCTAAATCAGGAGGATCACAAGTTTGAGCCCAGGCTTTTATGGTTTAGGGAGAACTTGTCTCAAAATAGGGCTAGGGATGTGGCTCAAAATAAGGCCCTGGGTTCAATCTCTATAGCCTCACCCCTCAAACAAAGAAACAAAATGAGTACAAGCGACTAAAGACATCTTGGTTGTGAACATGCTAATCTTTCTAGTGATATGCTAGTCTCCTTCCACCCTTTCCCCAAGCACACTGTTGTATTTTCTGTATTTGTATTTATTTTTTCAAATTCATTATGATCATTTTCAACATAGAAAAATTTAAAAGAATAATATAATAAATATCTGTGTACTTTCCACCTAGGATGAATCTTTTCAATTTCCATATTAATTTCTTTCTCTGCATATAAACACAGATACATATGCATACTTTCAAATGGTCTCCCTACCACCAAAAAAAAAAAAAAAAAGAAAAAAAAAGTTGCAAACACAAAAGTTCACCAATAAATTTTTCACAATGCATCTTGTAAGAATAACAATACTTTCCTTCAGAACCTCGATGACATCACCACACTTGAGAATAGTAACAGTAATTCTATATCATCAAAATATTTAGACTATATGCAAACTTCCTCAGTTTTCTCAAAGATATTTTTCATAGCTGTGGACCCAACAGATTCCCCAACCTTCAAACCCAAGAAGGAATCAAGATTCATTAAACTCAATGAATAGGTTCCTCAAGACTGTTGTTCCTACAACAGTCCCTCTGGCTCCGCCATATTCCACCTGCTCAGCGATAGTCTTGGATCTAGGGTAGTTTTCTTTCTTTTCTTTGTGATATTGGGAATTGAACCCAGGGCCTTTAAGCTACATAACCAGCCTCCACCCCCGCCCTTTTTAAATTTTGACAGGTTCTTGGTAAATTGGCCAGTCTGGGCTGGAACTTGCAATCCCTCTGCCTCAGCCTTCCAGAATGGTGGGATTACAGGCATAAGCCATTACACTTGGCACAGCTAGTTTTCTATTAGAATCTTCCATATTCTAAACTTTTAAAATCGCTTCCCTCTTGTAAACTGAAAGAGCTTTAGCTTTGTCAAGAATTTTCCACAGATGATGTAGTATATTTTGCTTTGCAAGAGGACATAATATTAGCTTCTTCTAGTACTAGTGATGCTAAGACCAGGTCCGTGGCTATAGTGAGACCATCAGATTTCTCCTCTGAAAGGAACACTTTCTCTTTACCATGTAAAGGTTAATTTGTGGGGTAAGGCCAACTGCTAATTGCACAGTCACTGTTTAACATTAGATGATTAAAGTATAAAAATCAACTTAGATTACTATGTTCACCTTGTAAGTTTGTAATAAGTCATTAGCCTTATAGTTTTCTCTAAAGCCCATCTTAATTTTAAATGAACCTCAAAAGAAGTTAAACTGGCAGGCCAGGGATTTAGCTCAGTGGTTTCGCCGACTGCTGCGCAAGCACAAGGACCCAAGTTAGATCCCCATGTACCAACAAAAAAGAAGTTAAACTGGCAAACTTTACTTCTTGCAAGGTATGCTGAGATGTTCTTTTTTAAAATGAAAACTTGTCAACTGCTAACAAACAGGCCAATCTGTACTCTTTAAACCAATGTCTATGGAAAGAAAATTTAACACTGAAAGCAATCAGTGGACTATTCTAAAAGGAAAACGGGGTCTATGGCACCTGGAAGGTAGCCACGCAGATTGTGCAAATGCCATCTGTGTAGTTTCTTAGCTTATCAAGAAGGAAGATTAGCAGTATACAAGAACAATTCTTCCTTCCTTGATCTAGCTTAAGTGAGGTTAAAGGCCAACCACATTTTAAATCCATATACTGTGGGCCAGCTCAGCATTAGGGAAGGTTAAGCTATGTCTAAATGGAGGTGAAAGAAATGGGAAGTCCTTGCCAAGTAGCACATGGGTGGCAGAAAAACTCCAAGCAGCTACCAGTATGTGGCAGCTGAGTCTACGGAGAGTCAGTGTTCCGCACCTCAGGCTAAGATCCAATAGAGGCTAAGGAGACAGAAACCACATCAGTTATTTTTTTAGCCACCATCCACTGCTTCCCATAAAGTACAGGCGCAGGGGAGAAAAAACTGTCAAAACTTAAAAATAAACCTGACTTTAAGGATCTAATGTTAAATAATGACTACGCAGTTAACAGGTATTATTTGCAAAGTGGGTCAACAGGACCTTTCAGAATCTAGCCTGTAGTTAGACTGCACATTTTCAAGTTCAAAAGACAAAGTAACACCCTTTAAAGATTAGTTGCAGCTGATTTTAGTTTCCATAGTTCTTAAAAACAAAAAATTTAAGACTCTAAAAGGAGAGAGTAGACACACAATATATAGAAAATATACCAGTCACATCAAACCATTTTAAAAATTGTAGTTTTCATCCCACAGGGGCAATATTAGCCATTCTTTTTGACTTTCTAAATTATTACCTTAGAAGGCTTGTAAGGAACAAGCTGACTGAAAAGGATAGTTGACTGCTGCTTCTCTGGAGCTACTTAAAAATGAGTTACCTACTGCTCCACAATGAATACTGTGCCATCCCTTGGGTTTTCCTGACCCGTGACTCTGAAGAGCCATTTCCCAAGGAGTAAAGTGAATAGAAACACAAGGATAAAGATCCCTGCTATACGGTATGGCAAACAAAAGTCAAAATTTGTATAAGGAAAGTTATTTGGGAAATTTTATCAATAAATAACACTGGTATCTAAATAGTTTTCAAATCACTTTTATTTAACTCTTGGCATTCAAAGAATAAGCCTCATGAACAGAGAGCAATAGATCAGGATTTTTACTTATGGTTGATTTAAAAAGCAGCTTAAAATCTCTACTAGTACAGTACACAACAAGGTCTCAAATGCCTACACTTCCTTGATGTTTTAGTTTAGGCGCTCTGTCTCAACATCAGTGGCTTATACTGCACAGAGTTATTCGCATCTTCAGAACATTCTGAAGCCTTCTGAGAACTAAATCTATAGAGAAAACAACAGAAGTAGGGGCTATGTGACTTGCTTAGGGCAATTTGCACCCATCAGGGAGATTAAAAAAGTTGAAAATGAAAAAAACATACACATGACTAGTACTACTTTTCTTCTTTTAGATTTGGCTAGGGAAATAGCAGCTTTCTGTCTTCAAAGGGTCAATTGTACAATCCTACTGTTGTATAAAAGTTTTGTGAACTTATGATACCAGAGGAATATTTGTGAGTTTTAGGCAAGGGAAAGAATACTTTCAGCTCTCAATCTTGATTAATTTTGGAATAAATAAAATGATCCAGCCAAGAAATGCAATTTCTTTCTTCCTATTTTTTTTGGGGGGGGGGCGGTGAGAATCTCAATGTGTTGCTGAGATTAGTCTTGAATTTGTGGGCTCAAGTGATCCTCCTGCCTCAGCCTACCAAGTAGCTGGGACTATAGGTGTGCATCACTATGACCAGCTAAGAAATGTAATTTCTAAAAGTTGCTAATGAATTGCAACTTTTAGAAGCTAAGAGATACTGCTTCTTAGAGGTGGAAAGGGGGAGGAGAAAACAGCAGAGCCCAAGCACAATGGGAACAAAAAGACCCATGGTTCCATGGTCCTCTGTGGATGGAGTGGTGAGGAGGAGAGAATGACTGCTAGACAAAAGAAATCAACCCAGATTTTCCTATTTGTGTCAATTCCACCTGTATTTGTACAAGGAGATTTTCAATTCTGGATGGTTAAAAATGACTAGTTATTTTTTTTTTTTAAGGAGGGAGGTCAAGAAGGGAAACTCACTGGTTATTTTCACGATACTATACTTTAACAGGTATTAAATATCTAACAGATATTTAAATGTGGTTTCTGTTTTGTTTTTGCTTTTTGGTACTACTAGGGACTGAAGCCAGGTGTACTCTACCACTGAGCTACATCCCCAGTCCTTTTTATTTTAGGACAGGGTCTCAATAAGTTGTAGAGGCTGGCCTTGAACTTGCAATCTTTCTGCCTCAGCTTCCCAAGTACGTGAGATTACCAGTATGCAACATCATACCCAGCTTAAATGTGTTTTTAAAGAGTTTACTTATCCTGTGCTGAACAGTAAGTAATGAGAGAACCTTTCTTTCACACACAGTCACAATCAGAATATGCCCTAAAAACTGAAACACATTCTACTACTAGGTTCCTTTCCCACCTGTGGCATGTCACTCAAAAAGCAACCTCTCCAAACCATCTCAAATCTTATTTTTTTTTTTTTGGTACCAGAGATCGAACTCGGGACCTTGCACTTGCGAGGCAGGAGCCAGAACCACCAAGCTAAATCCCCGGCCCCCATCTCAAATCTTTTAACATGTTAAAATATAAAAAATTTTGTCATTGATGCTTCCCATTTTCTTATATCACCTAATAACCTATAACTTTAAAAGTTTTTTAAGGTTTTTACCTTTACTGAAACACTCTGGATTTAAGTAACATGGTATGTAATTACTGAATCTTGGTTTCATAGCTACAGTAGACATTTAAAGCATTCAATTAAATGATCTCACTTATATGTGGAATCTAAAAAAGTCAACTCAGAAACAGGGAGAAGGGTGGTCATCACGGTGGGGAAAATGGGGAGATGTTGGCTGAAGAGTGCTGGAGAGCTACGTATAGCACAGTGACTACAGTTAACTTATGTTTGCTTGAAACTTTCCAGGAGTACATCTTGGTATTTCTACCAGACACACACAGAAAGGTAACTGTGAGGGAATGGACATGCCAATTAATTAGCTTAACTGTGATAATCATTCCACAATGTACACATATCAAAACATGACACTGCACACCTCAAAACATACAATTTTTGTCAAGGATATCTTTTAAAAGCTGAAAAAAATGTAAAAAATATCCCTCAATAAATGAAAAAAAACTTCCACATTTGATTAAGAACATGATTTTCCCAAGACCTGAACAGTTGACATTTAACTGTGTAATTTCACAAGCTGGATAGAACTGCAAATCAGACCTACATAGTCCTAGAACACTGAAATTCCTTTGGTAATTTTAAAAAGCTTCTTCGAAAACAGACAATATAGGTAATTGGTGTGTGTGTGAATATACTGCCCTCAACTTTAAAGTATCACTGAGCAAATCATCAGATGTCCTTATATTAATAGAAGGATAGAAAGTTTCCTAGCAGAATAGTTTTTCCACATGTTGGAAAGCAGTTAGAACCAAAACCACCTACAGCCTCCTAACTTCTTCAGGGAGGCTGGGGGGCTCCATTCATTAATGGGGTCTGATAGAGCTAGTCTGGAAACCTTGAATATAGCCCTTACTCAGTAATCTTTCAGTGAGGGTATGGAAAGTTCCCCTGTGACCTTAGGCAGAGAAACAAATATCCCCGTAAAGAGCACCCTGAAGAAGGTAGGTCTTGGCCTATGGTTATACTAAGATCAGCTTTCACAAAGGAAAAAGCAGAATTGGCATAAGATCCTGGGTTGGCACTGTCTCTAGCCTCATTTATAAACTGGCCACATTTTTCTACGTTACTCTTTCTCCCAAAGACCCAAAATATGTTTCATTCATGCTTCTGCATTACATGTTACACATTGTACTAACCCTGAAGGAGGGTCTGGCCATTATTTCAAGGTTTTCAAGTTAAACACCAACTTTTCCAAGGACAGAAACATATTAATATTGGCATAAATAAAGCGAAGCCTTATCTGCCCTCCTTTTTATCCGGGGTCTTATTTTATAATAAAGCAATAGTGACAGATCCTTTCAAGACTAAAAAGAAGCCTTTTTGTCTCAGTCTTAGATTTGCTCACTTTGGCTACTTGGCTTACCTACCGGCATAGTCAACTGTCTTTCTGAGTTCTGCCCTCCACTTTTCCCACTATATTCTCTGATCATTAAACTTTGGCTATTTCTGAAGCTCCTCAAAAAACTTCTCCTGTAATCATCTGTGCTTTTTTTGAAGACAGAATGTCACTGAAATGTCCAATTAACGTGTTAGAAAAATTCTCATATTCCAACCCAATTTTTAATCCACCGAGGTCAGGAAGTCTAGTGAACCAGAAACTAGAGGTGGGGGTGTGTGTACAGAGTCAGAATCATTCTTAGCATTTCAAAGAGAATTTAGACTCAATAAATGCTGTTGGCTTAGAGAGGTCTTGTCATTCCCTCTTTTTTCTAAAGACATCCTCCAGCCCTTTGCAAACTGCCATGGCTGTAGAGAAAAACAAACCAGTTCATCTATGCAATAAGAGCCCAAAACATCCAACTCAGGGTCTAACTTTACCCCAATCACCATATCCTCCATTCTAGATAAGAGTTCGAAGTTCTTGGCTTGGACTTGTGGATGGGCTTCAGGCTGACAACTCCCTATTACATGCCATATATACACATACATATATACATACATACATACATATATACACATACATACATATATATGCATACACATATATATACACCTACATATATATATATATATATATATATATATATCTTGCCACCCCCCCCAATTACATACATGGGTCTGACAGCTCTCTAATCCCAAATGGTTAAAATGGCCTTGAACTCACTATGTAGCTCAGGGTGGCCTTGAACTTGAGGCGATCCTCCTGCCTCAGTCTCCCAAGTGTTGGGATCACAGGCATGTGCCACCATGCGGGGGCCTCTGTGGAGAAGACTAAGGTAGACTATTTTTCAGGCCCTCTCACACAAGGTATGAGATTTTCTTCATGGTTTAAGTCATCTATCATACTTGGTAACTGCATTCCCATCCCAATATCAGATTTCCTAACAATTTTGGCCAGCTTTGCTAGATAATCTACAAGTGGTTCTACATCTGGGATCTTTCAAGTTTATCTGAGGAAGCTGTTTCAAAATGCTAACCTGTTCTCTGCCTGCTCCCTTACCCTTAGCCCCCCCCCCCCCCTTCTGATTTAAGTAGGTCTAGTTCAGGGCACAGGTGATGAATATTTTGAAAAAGCTTCCTTGGTAACTGATATCTTCCATTCCTCCCTAACCTGTAAAAAAAAAAAAAAAAAAAGAGGTAATGATTTAAGAAACAAGCAGGATTTGAAAAAGCAAACACAAGCATACTGAATTTACCAGGCTCTTGATCAAGTGACTCAAAGAGCACAGGAGCAAATGAGTTAGATATGCCTTGTTCAGAGATAAATAATGCAAAGGAAGTAGAGAACTACCTTTAATAACAACTCCGTCTAATACAATCTGATTAATCTACAAGGTGTTAGAACATGACAAAGAGCCTATCTGAAGAAGAGATTGTATTTTTACCATGGGTTAGTCCAAAATCAGTAAAAACTGGCAGCATACTTCATTCCAAACATGCCCAGCACTTAGCTAATCCCCTCCCTATGGAGTCAGAAAAGAATGTGCAGAATTATAAATTCTATACTCCCCAAATAGGAGGGGTTCTGGCTCCTGAATGCAAAGGCTGAAACTAATCTCATCAGCCATGCACTTTCAATTATGAACTAGGTGAAGAAGTAAGGCGGTTTTCCACCCAGGTGCTCTCCTAGTCTTTACGGTCTGTAAACATCCTTTTCCCCACCTCCACTAAGAACCAAGCCTTTGCCAATCTCAGTTCATTCTCAATTGGCAAACAAGAACAGAAACCACCTCCAGAGTAACGTTTCCCTCTGGGAGATCTGGGGAAAGAGATGCAGTAAGGTCAACCCCTCCAGGATGCATTTTCCTTGGACTTACAATTCAGCATGTTACAGTGAGAACACCATGTCCCCAACCAACTCAGTCTCTTTTCTGTTACAAACCAGAAGTAAACAGATTCTACAGCAGCTACAAGTCTGTTACCAAGGCCACTGTATTGATCAGTATAATTAACATTCACAATTCATTTTAGTCCAGCATGACAAGCCAGCTGGGCTACTCTCCCCATAAGAAGTGAACACTGGGAATCTTCATGTCTTGCTTGCTAAGAAGTCTCGTGCTCAGAAACTGGGCAATAAAACCTCAATTTCTGAATTGGAAGTTGTTGGAACCACCTGGCCACCAACAGGAAACTGAATTAGTTACCAGGACAACTGCACACACCTGCCATCTCTACAAAGCACCAATTTCATCTTCTAAAACAGCAATATTCTGAAGGACTCCTTCTCCCCTGAATCCTGCCAAAGTCATGTACTTTAAGGAAACACGCAAAATTTAGTGCCAACTACAGACAGACCTCCTGGCTAGGAACGAAACCACTGGCTCAGTTCCCAGATGACTGTAATTCTAGAGAAGGTGTATTTCAAAAAGGACACATATGGCATTGGGTTATCAAGCTCAGCCTTTGGCTCAGAGAGGTCAGCTAGGGTTGCAGAATGAAAAGATCCAGAATTTCGCTTAGCACTACTAGGGAGAACTGTTGTACTTTCAGAGTCCCAAAATATATACCAAAATCAACGGTTCAACTCATCACTGGCTCCTAAACCTCAAACCTAAGTAAAAGCCTCCTGTTCTTAAATCCATAGCATGTGTAAACCAGGATTCCAGATTCAACTTGGGGCAGAGTGTCCCTACTGGGGAGTTAAAAATTTATTCTGATGGTAAGAAATTCAAATCACCTGACCCATTATGTCTAAGAATAGCTCTAGCTCTTGAGTTAACAAACTAAAAAAGGCCATGTATTCAGTGCAATCTCCTCCCTTATCTTCTACAGTATTTCTAACATTACAAAGGATCTACTAAACTATTATAAATTCTTTTTTTTAAAGCACCAGGGATCGAACTCGGGACCTTGCACTTGCGAGGCAGGTGGCCGCACCACTGAGGTAAATCCCCGGCCCCAAAACTATTATAAATTCTAATCAACTTTTCACCTGCAGCTCTTGGTACTCCCTTAACACCCATTCGGGAGGGACATAAGAAAAATAGCTCTTGTCAAATGAGAGGGTCAGTGAGCCAGAGATTACATGCGAGTCCAACTTATCTTCTCCTAGGGATGACCACCTCACAGTATTTTATTCAATAAATATTTATTAACAATGTTTTGTGCTAGGCACTACATACACGATATGTGTGAAATAAGGTCCTCTACCTCAGTATCCTCCACCTAGAGAAATCAAATGAGTAAGATTCAGATATTCTCAGCTCAGTCTTAGTTTAGGAAATGCTACACTGAAACCGAACCTATTTTTGAGAGACAAAGGAAAGTGCATTATTTTGTTAAATATGACAGTCTAGAAAGTAAGCTTCCTAGTCCAAATACCCTTGGAGAAGCAGCTCAGAAGCATCCATATTTCATGTGCAAAGCAGCAGGGCTGAACCCACACTCCAACTTGCTAAAATGCTGGTTGCAATGTGTGCAAGTTTCCGTGTCAAATCCTCAAGGCATTTATAATGAGTCTCCTGGGAAGCTGAGGAGCATCCCAAAGAAGGTGATAACATCAATAGTCTCAGCTTTGCTCCAAGCCATAAGGACAAACTTCAGGCTGAAAATAATCTTTTAGCAGTTCCTGGACTAGTGAAGGAAAGATACTATGGCTTAGAAGCCTAACCATATAAATCAGGGGTTTTCAACCCAGAATTCATGAGTAAGTTTCAGGGAGTTCCATAAGCCTTCATATAAATTTTTGTGCTCCTAAGTTTTCCTGTTCATGAAATTCTTAAAGGGATCTGGGACTCAAAAGATTAAGAACCATTGGAAGTCTCCAATCCAGCAACTTCCAAGAGTATTTCCAAGCAGGCAAAAGTGAGGCCTATTTCAATTCTCTACCTTCCACACAAATTAGTCTATTCATCTCTCCTCTGAAATTAGAAATAGAGATAGAAGTTTGCATTTTGAAAATTCAAAACAAATGTTTCTTCTACATCTCCAAAGTAAAGTTAATAATCATGGGAGTCCAAAAGTTTTTCCTTACGGCATTTTGAGGAAGAAGATGAGGTAGGGCTAGTCAGTGAAATCAGATCAGAATCTCTGCCCCACTAACTTTCCTGGTAAGTCTTTCATAAATTTTAGGCTCCTAGGACCACAATGGAAACAGGTCATGGCCCAAAAGCTTGGATTTGCAGTCAAGCCAGACCTGGGATAAATGATAAAGTAATTCCCATTATGGCTATGGAATGTGAGCCCTAAAGGGTTACCTTATTACAATTAATAAGATCTGAAAGAACTGGAGCCATTTATTAAAAACAAAACTTTCAAAATCCTAACATTGCTCAAAATATAGTATGGAGATCTATATTCAGGAGGTCTAAACCAAAGAAACACCGTTACTCTCATCTCCTCCAGGCCTTCAGCCTCTTTGCTTTGCCACTCACCAATTCACCATCCTGCTCACAAAGAGCCACTGCAGATCAGCGTACTAGCATTTTTCTTGGCACTCTCAACACATAGGCTTCATCAGATTCCATTGATGCCATTGCACACTCCCGGGTTCAGGAGAAAAGAGAAAAACATAAACAACAGAGGATCCTCTTCCTAGGCAGTTCTTTAGACTATAAAAAATTAAGCTGGAGGCAAGTCCAAGATGAACAACACGGAAGAGTGAGCAGTTCTAAGCCCTGTTTATTAAGTCTCATTTCTATCACTCAGCTGAGTACAGGATGTCCACTTAAAGAAGTAAAGTGACTTGGACTGGAAGAGGGGAACATGTCAACAGGCCCAGTAGGCCCTACAGGTTATATCATAGTGTGTTAACTGAGGCATCGGGACTTTGATGGCAAGAAAGCAAGAGCAGGCGTATCTGTGCTTCTGTCAGAAGTTCTTTTCTCAATCTCTACTCAAGGATTCCAAGTACTATCTTACTCCTAGTAGTTTGTTAAACATTTTAACTTGGTGTCCAGTTTGGGTAGTAAATGATTAAGCTCCACCGGATACTGTCAGGCAGTACCAACAATTACATACATTCTGAGGCTGAAGCACCGGGGTAATTCTTGTAGAAAATCGAACATCAATAAATACAAAAATGAAACCAGTCTGAGTCTCAACAAATGCATGGACACTCCACCTAGTTCTGTAATTGCTGTAGAGCAAAGGGCACACATTTCTGCAGAAGAAACTCAGATACAGATAACTAGGAACAGGCTGTTTAGCACTGAGGAACAGTACATTGGGGAGGAGTTAAGAGAACAGAGGGATGGGATCTCAATGTGACCATATAAAATGAACTCGCAGTTCCAGAGTCTTTGAAATTGTTTCATATAATTCAAAGACTGCAGTTTGGAAAAACCCTCAAACTATTGCAATTCAAGGAAATAAACTGGACTTGGGCTAGCTCAGTACAACCCACGTTCTACAGTGCATTATATGTTACGAAGAATGGGGTGGGGAATGGTGAGAGACAGACCATCTCATTTCCATCACAGGTCCTAAGCTCCAATGTTCTATGCACCTTCTGGTAATCAAATATTTTAGTATTCAACAGGGCCAAGCTCTTTATAAAACCTTTTTTTGTCAAGGAAAATTTTTTCTTATTGAAAAGACCTTCTAATAGAAACATCTTGATTTTGGCTCTTTAAAAATATTTCAAAATTAGGCTCTGACTTGAACTTATTATGTTGCATCAACTACTATCTGTATAGGAATTATTATTCCTCATTTTACAAGTGAGAAAAGGGAGGCCCAGAGATGTTAAGACACTTGTCCAAGATCTCACTGTTATTAGATGGCAGAGACTAAAAGTAAACTTGACTGTAAGAATCAAGTGCTTAACTCACACTGTACTACCATGCACTGGTTTTAGAATAAAAAGGGAGGCCTTATATAACAGCCAAGCAATGAGAAATAAAAAATTAGAAAAGGTGACAGAAATTCTACATAAATTTTTACTAACCACTTACCACATATAAGGCACTGGTAGTGATGACAAGAAGTGGAAGGAAATTTGTGGTAAGAATCTTCAATTTTGGATTTTCAGATTTCACGCTGGAAAAAACTCTGGTCTATGCAAATGTGTCATCTTTACATGATGGGGATGCTTCTGACCTATCTCAGAAGAAGGTACTTGGAATTATTATTCAGTTCTGAATTACATGTTCAGTATAGTACCACAATGGTGGCCCTTCTTTATGAAAATTCAGTGTTTCAGAGTATTCAGTATCTGAGAGTCAGATAGGTATAAATGATTCTCCTGTACTAGCCAGTTCCTCAAAATACCCAGTGAGGCCATTAAAGTGCTTGTTTACCAATTATTAACTAGTAGAGGTGGTAGAATAAATGTATTATGAGTCAAGGGCAACCAAAGGTCTACATGAGTCTCTATATCAAAACATTCTTTATAGACACTTTTCAAGAGCATATTGGGTAACACACTGAATACAAATAATATCCTCCTGATAAGACAAAAGTGATACCTACCTGTAATTTTGCCAGCACAGGATCTAGACAATGAGATTTTTCTGTTAAAAGCAAAATGTCTAAAGGAACTTGAAACAAACTAATTCGGAAACTAGAATGTAACTAAATCAAACTAAGAAAAGGAAATCTGTATCTGAGGAGAGATGTAAAAAAAAGGAGCTTCTGCCCTGGAATGTAGCTCAGTGGTATGCCTAACATGCTCTGGGCCCCAGGTCTGATCCCCCACACCACAAGAGGATCTTCTCACCTCTGACCAAAACAGCTGGTGCCCTAAAGAAAATCAGGAGATAGTCATGATGTGAAGAAGGAAAGAAACAGGCAACTTATCTAATCTCTGATGCGTACTGGTGTAAAATCTATAAAATGGCACCATGAATTCACCCTCAGATAACTCCAAGAAAAAAAAAAGCACCCAGTACTTCTGCTACCAAAAAAACAACTAGGCAGTCAGTACTCACTGGGGCTCTGCTCACTGGGCTTCCTAATCCTTACAATGAATTAGTGTTATACATGCTTTAATCAAGTAACGTATATACTATAAGCAAAAGTAGTTTTTTTTGTATTATTCTTCTTTCCTGTGGTAAAGGTCTGATTGATAGATTCTAGATCCAATGTTTAATGGATCACTGGGGAAAGTCCTCCCACAGATCTTCAGAAGTTCAGAAAACAGACAATGTTCGGCTATAGGCATTCTGGAGAAATATCTCTATTGCAGGAGGTTTCATCAAGTTGGAGATTTGGTTTTATTCTATTAAAAAAGAATCAATTTGATATGATGTTAACATCTAACCTTCCAAAGACAGTTATCACCTCTGCAACACAAAGCAGCAGAAAAAGAGGAATAAATACCCAGTGATTATGGGGAACTAGATTACTTACTTGGTTTGACTAATAATTGCCAACATCAAACAGGGATCTTCTTCAGTTTACAATGTACACTTGCTCTTACTACAAAAGAATTCCTTTTCTCACCTCAAGTTGTCCTACACGTTATCTAAAATCACCATTAAGTTGTGAACAAATTTTACCATGTGAATCATACTATATCTATTAATGTGGTCTCATGAAAACTTAGATTTTTGTCAGGGAAAGTTGTCTTCCTATGGAACTGGCATGCACTATTTCCCATGCCTGCAAAGGAAACTATAAGTGAATCCTTTCTCTGGTTGGATGTGTAGAGTTGTCTGTGACAAACAACTTCATCAACTATTTTAGCCCTCAAGACTAACATTTTCCCCCTAATTTCTATAGTTATGACTCCCTGTTTATGCACTGTACTTGTCTATTATAAACTACCTCAAATTCTCCTTTGTAAAAGAGAATAGATGTTTTAAAACTACTTTTGCATTTTAACTCCCTATCTCCATCTGTTCCAAACAACAGGCACTTATTTGGTCAATGAGGAAACCGAGGCACAGAAGCTGTTTGCTTAATCGAAGCCAATTTAGTTGGCTTCTTGAAAGCCAGATATCTCAAGTCTTGAATCAAACCAGCAAGCTCTGTTACATACACTGTGGTGGACTCCAAGAACACACAAAATTGAACTGAGTCATGATTATGGTTGAAGAATTCAGTTATGTATGCTTTTAATTGATGGGTACCTACTCTACCTCAAGGTAAACAAAACGAATAAAGGCTGACCAGAAAGTAATACTAGGATCGGATCTGACTGAGGACCACTAAGGTCACCCTGAGGTAACCTATATCCTCTGGCACCAGGAATGTCAATTCCTGAGAGGCCTCGGGGATTGAAATGATCCAAGGATTATGTTGCCTACAGCCAGGCTGGAGTTCTCATAGGTAATGGACTATACCACCTGAAAAGGCCTTTTTCTACATCATTCCGTACCATGCCAAGCTAGTTTTTTTCCTCTTACTTTCCCCATACTGTCTCACAATATCAACCCATGGCAGAGGTACAAAAGTGACTAAGTCATAATGTCCAATTCAGCTGAAATTCAGAAAAACAGATTAGGGCTTGCAATGTGACCTTGACTAGTCTTCAACCAATCCATTAACTAAATAAATGCCTTTTATCATCACTAGGGAAGGATAATTAGTCACCATAAGGCAGTTCAGTACAAGTGCTACGTAAATGCTACACAATAAAGCTCAGAAAGAACAAAGATCAATAACATGGGGGCACATTTACCAGCAAGTGGAAACTTACAACAGGGTCTCTCACACTTCTGGCAGGAACTTGGTTCTTCTGCTAATGGAATGAGTCTCTCAAGTCATTAGCAGTTGGCCTCACAATAATACACATTAGCAATATTCCTTCTGAGAAGAGGGAAAAGGGATATTTATTCCTGGTAGACAGCTATTTAGATATCTCAGTTACTGGTTAGCCATATGAGCAATTAATATTTGAGTACCTACTATAGTGCATGTGAGATACAGAGCTTAAACACAATAAATACAATAATGAACTTCCTGCCTTTCTGGGAGTTCACAATCTACACTTCAGCCTTTGCCTTGTCAGTTCTGGCACT